AGCACTTTTCGAGATCTCGAAAAAAGAAACGTTCTTAACTATCAAAAACAAAAAATAAATTGTTTATGTTTTGTACGAAATCAATAAATGTTCACAATGATATATTATTAGAGTTTTGCTCAGTCATCTTGAAAACGTTACTTTATATTTCAAGCTAAAAGTAAAACTTTAAATAGTAAAAGAACATAAAGGTAATAATAGCAGCTAATTACATTATAAATGAGGTATGAAAGAAAAGAAAAGGTAGATAATTCTTCAGGATAAAGCTCTGTCGAACACATATTCACACAATTTATATTTCGCGCTAAATAAAAGTAGAAAGGTAAGATAAAGATAATAATAGCAGCTGATTAGGAAGTATCTTAAATGAGATATGAAGAAGGAGAAATAATGGTAGATAATGTTCAAGGAAAAGAGTTAACGGAAACATTCCTGCGTAACTTAATTTATACTTTGCACTAAGTGAAACTATAGATAGCGAGAGAAAATAGGGGTAGTAATGGCAGCCGATTAGGAAGTATCCTCGAAGCAGGATGTGCAGGAGGGGGTGGACGGAGGAAGCCAATGACTCTCACGATGCGAGAGGGAGGAAATTTTATCGAGCAGCCGCCATCGACGAGATGGAGGGCTGAGAGGGATGGAGGCAGGGGCGCAGGGGTTGAATCGGAGGGTTGGAAGACAGCGGGGGTAGGATAACTCGCAATAGCGAACGAACGAATCACGAATGAAGGGACGAGGAAACTCTTGAGGGACCGTACGTCCTGTCAGAATGGAGGAGGGCAAAGTCGAGCAGACAAAGGACTTACCCCACCGCGGGAGGATAAACCTCACCAGAGATGGCGGTCGCGCCGCGAACCCGCAAACTACTAGAGTATTAATAGTTATCTCGCGCTTCATTATTGCGCGGTCCTCGTTCATGATACGCGAACGTGTATGATGATGCATAACGCAGTACAATTGCCATTTAGATGAGATTACTATAACATTTGTTTTAAAAGAACACCTTTTTAGCTGATTTTAATCCTTATTATCATGGTTAAATTGCCCAAAGATAGTTTAAATCAAATTAAAAAGAAAATTCCTAATGCGCCTTGTGTAAAAGATAGAATAGAAAGTATGTAATTATATGATATTACAATTTTTAAAATAGCATATATAAATAGCATATGGAGAAATAGGAAAACGCTTGAAATGAGAAGAAAGAAAGGAAAACAAATTACAAAATAAAAAGTAACAAGAACAAAGAGGATTCAAACAGATACAAGATATTTAAAAATATTGAGAAAGTGCATGTAAATCTTCATATGAATAGAAAACGAATCTCATAAAAATAAAGTAAGTACGTAGTTTTATATCGGATATCGACGTCCCAGAAATGGTTCCTCCTCTCACTCTCTTCTCAAGATAGATTGAATAGCTTTATTTCCACTTAGAAAAGTTCGAAGACCACATGATCCGCGATTTTTTAATGGACATTCTAATTTAATATTGGCAACATAATTAAAAAAAATTATTTTTTTATTTTTTCAAATGCATTTTCCTATATCTTTCTCCTAATATCTTATTAATTACAATATGTACAACATAAATAAAAAATTGCAAAAGGAATATTAATTGAGATATGACGAATGATCAAGCATGTATAATTTTGCTTGCCTTAACCTTGGGTAATAAAACTCTGTATCTTGGCATCTTTCTAGTGTTGCTTAAAATACCAAAACTAAAAATACATAAACAGAAGATTACAAAAATATAAGAAAACAGAAAAAGTTTTAACCGAAGTATGGATATATCAAACTATGCTAGGTATGTAATAATAATATTCAAGTAAAATATATTATTAATTTAAAAATCATACATATTTTATGTATGTAAATATAATTTAATATTGATAAACGTGTTTATCTGGGAAAGGATATTCTCGCCGTAGAGTTTCTTGATAATCGATCAATTATATAATTAAATTTTGTTTAATTATATATAATAAGATTTAATTATAATTTAATATTATTCATTATATTGATGAATGCCAACTTTTTTAGAAAATTAATAAGGATGAGATGTTTCACAAAAAAAAATATTAAGTTCGATTAAAATATGATATAGATACAACCACACACACAAAACTAAACCTAGGTTTTCGTATTTTGATCAACACAGCTGCGATGATTAGGGCTGTAGGGTCAAGGGGTTAATGGCAGCTTAAGTAACTTGCCGTCGCCAAGATAATCGCACTCATCGTGCAAAAGTGGATTATACGCGTTGGAATATCAAGTCGTCGCCGCAAATAGCGAGTGATTTAGTTCCACAGTCGTCGAATCGCCATCCCTAATCTCACCGTGTAATAATATCGCGATCGTCGATGACGAACGTTATATTAATCCGCGCCTATGTCTCCGAGATAAGATTAAATTTATTGCTCCCCTCTCCAAGCTGGAAACCAATGAAATCGTCCGCACTCCTCGTCCGCGCTAGATAATCTGAATGAAATTCGGCGAAGAGATACTTCGGCGCTAAGTGATGCACGTCAGTCGGGAAGTCTAACTTTAGGTTCCGTTAGCGTCTGGAGAACTGTCTAATCGCGTTACCGTACATGTACCTCACCTGTCCTTCTCGCGACACCTGCGTCCTAGCGGAGCAGATAACGTCAAGGATGTGTACGAACGATAGGCGAGTAGAGAGAATTCGGCAAGCTATGACAGATAGCTCCCGATCTTAATATGAAGATGTTTTCAAGAGATCGTGTAAATTTATCTCTTATCTTATAAAACGCAACCGATTTTGCTATATACAGTATCTGATGAAAAACGAAAATGGCAACTGTTCTCTTACGGCGTTGAGAATCTTCGAGTTATATTACAAATAATGCTCAAGGAAGTTCGTATAACGTAAATAAATAATAAAATTCTTTCGTCAATTTTGTACAAATAATAATTTAATTTAGATTTATTTGGCTCAAATAATTTGAATCCATATTATTATTACATATTTAATATGATTGTTTGATTTTGAGTTTTATTTAGAATGAACATTGGAATTAATGTAACGCGATAAGAATTGAACAAGCATATTCAATATTTATTTCTTATTCAATGTTGGAAATTAAATAATCGTATGACACACAGTTTCTTAAGTCAATTTTTAAGGATAAGTACTTAAAATTTTTTAAAGAGATTAGCATTTGTGAGGATTGTTTTAGTTTGAAAACATCCATATTATAAAAATACATTTTGACTTATGCACATATAATGATCCGAAAATTGGTGTAAATCAAATCGCACAAAACGAAAACAATTTTCCTGGACTCAGTTGTCACATTTAAGAATATTTAACATGTTTACTTCCAATTACTATAAATTGAGAACTGTTCTTATACATTTCGTGCAATCCTGAATTACATTAAGATTAATTTCCAAGAATTATCGTATAAATAAGATATAACAAGAGAAATTTTTTCACAAAAAGAATTGCCAGTCGTTACACTTTTGTTCGTTTTAACGGCAAAAGAGAAAATATTATTTAACCGTAATTTCATACGTATGAGAAGTAATTTTACAATAATGTTTGTACAATTCTCCGTCGTTTATCTTTTGTTCATGATAATCCGTCACGCGTATTAGACAGTATAATCCATCAGCTTGCGACCTGCAGGTGTAGCCATGAAAACGAAAATGGAGTCTGTAATGTAATTACACTACACTCCTGCGAACTCACCCTCAACTTTCAGTCAACAACCTTCTCTTTGAGCAGATGAAGCAAACTACGCGATATGTATAATGCAAAATTTTATATATAATCCGAAAAAAGAATGTTCTTTTCTAATAACAGTAAAAAATTATTTCGCTTATTATATTCTTTACATTATGCAAATGACCGAGGCTCTCATTCTATAACTCTTAACGACAATATCAGTATCATTATACTGTCGTTTTTACCATACTCTTCTACTATATAGTAGATAAAATATAGTAGATAGTATATAAAACTTATGCAATGACATTGTAATGACATCGACATTGTTGTTAAGAATTATAGAATAAAGGCTTAGTTCTTAAATGTTCTCTATAAAACTATTAGCTTTTATAATAAATATCATATTTAATTGTATATAATATCAAGATTGAAAAGTTACTCGTAACAAAGTTACAATTAGAGTTACTTTTTTCAGTAACTGTAACTTAACTTAGTTATAGTTTTTTGCTAGTAACTAATTTAATAATTACTTTTAAAATTACTTTATATAAAATTTATTCGTCAGCATATGCGTTCGGATTGGACACACTGTAAGTTTTTATTCTGTTTTCTTTTCGCATGTAATAAATGATAAAGATAGAATGAAGCTTATAGCGTATGAGCGTCCAAACCAAACATAGCCATGAACTAAAATGAAGTATTCATCAGTGATTAATTCTTGTGATTAGACTATATTTTTATCCCTGGTAATTATTACTCTGTAAGTGTCTGTATGGAGGGGTGGAAGTCATAGTGGTGTAAGCCACTTGATTATGATTTCGAGAAATAAAAGATTTTTTTTAACATATAATATTTTAGTAGATTGTACCAATGACCTCAAATTGATAGATTAAAAAAAGTGATTATACCCCTATCGCTTTTGCTGTTCCGCATTAAAAATTAAGCTATTATAGCTAAGATTTTTTGTATGCAAACGCGTCTTAATATCGATCCTATAATTTTTATTCCAAGTGCAAATACATGTTAATTTATTATAAATAATATAGCGCATAATTGAATATTTAGTGTAATAAAAAATAATTTAGTTATGTTAGAAATGTATAACACTCTTGTATTTAAAATAGCAATGCAAAAAATTACAAAAAATTAATTGAAAAGTAATGACTCGTTACTTTTTAAATAATTGTAACTGTAATATGTTACTTTTCAGAATCGATAATTTGTAACGGTAACTACTCTTTTTGTGTACTCTTACATAAAAATTTTAAAACAAAGAATAATTGCACCAAAATAAAGAACGGACTAACCTGCACTCTAGCTTCCGTCAGGTCGATCTTCATAGCAATCTCTTCTCTAGTGTAAATGTCTGGATAATGTGTCTCCTGGAATGCACGTTCCAATTCTTTCAGTTGAGCCGACGTAAATGTCGTTCGTATCCGACGTTGTTTTCTTTTCTCCGCGAGACCATCATGTCCTGAGTAAGCTTTATATCCCAAACCACCTAAAATTAGAAATGTAGAAATAAAGATAAAAATAATTGAAATGTAGAGATAAAGAGTATAATTTTTGAAATTTAACTTTTACTTTTTTTGTTTGTTTGACACGCAATAAGTAAATAAAATAAAATAAAATAAATGCTTGTTATGCAACGGCAATAATAATAACAATGATAGTGTAATAATAGTAAAATATAAAATTACAATTAAAATATAATAGCCCAAAACGTATCGAAGAAAACAAGAATTCTTATTTTCCCGCATAAATATCAGAACAACCTGATGTATAAAAAAGTCTGTATAATTAAATATATAAATACATATCTGTTCGTATATACAGAATAAATAATAACTAAACATTAAAAATTAATTAAAAGGCTAAGTTCTGCATTGTTTTTTATAAGAAGTAAAATTTGAAAAAATGAGAAAAGATTGCTCATATATAGTTATAAATAATAATAATAATCATGGTAAGTAATGTATGTAACGCCGTTACCGTTACATTACTTTTTTATAATAACGATTTCATAATGACATTACAATTTTTCATGATAACGATAATGCCAGGATTGGAACAATCATCTTTGAAAGTAACTCGTTACCATTATGCGTGTTTCTCATACATTCAATTTTCATTGAAAAAAATAACTGTTCCAGCTCTGGTATTACCGTCATAAAAATTGTAACATTTTATTAAATCGTTATTATAATTCGTTATTTTTCTCAATGAGAAATGCCTAATGATAACAAGTTATATACTTTCAAAATTAAGTGACTGTTCCAATTCTAACGTTATCGTTACTGTCACGAAAAATTAGGGAGTTTTTGCAATAACGAGAATTCAGATACGGTGAACGTTAAAGTCACGCTATCCTTTTCTTAATTAGTTGTTAAGAAGAAAATAACCTGACCTTAGCGTTCACTGTATCTGGATAAACGCTATTGCAAAAACTCCCTATTATATTATTACCAAATCACTATTATAAGAAAGTAACGGTAATGGCGTTATAAGCAACATATGTTACTTGCCATCTCTAATAAAAATGTATGAAATTGTGATTATATAAAAAAATATTATATAATATAATAGCAATTTGAGTTTTTATTATAAAGAAAAACAATGCAAAAATTATTTTTATAATTAAAAGAATAACTTTTCAATCAGTCTTCTTTATTTTTTAGACATATATGGATAGAGAAGAAAACATATGAATTTGTTTTGTATATAATTATGTATAATATAATATATTTATATTTAATTATATATATATACAAACTTTCTTTATATCGAAAATCTTTATATATATTAAAAAATAATATAACATGTATTAAAAAATTAAAAATATTAGTAATCATAGCAATAACACTAAATGTAACATTTATGATAGGAATATGTATTGCAGTTCCAATTATTTGTTTAATACAGGTACAAAATTTTGTTAACACAATAAACAGGATGGAATTCATTTCCCGCAACAATATTTATTATATCCCATGTATCTTTGTTTTAAAAAAAATATATACACTTTTATGTTTTATATATATAGTTTCTATTAAATCTATTATTATATGTAAAATCAACATAAAAACAATTAAAATTTTACGCTTTTAGAAACGAATAATTCAATTTTTTTAAATCCTTGAATAATCACGTAAAGATATATTCGTGGAAGTCTTTTATCTTATACTATTGATATCACATATATCTGATATCCTTATGATAGTTTCGCTTCGGTAGCTATTTATATTTCTAGCTTCTTCAGTGAATTCATAAAATATTAATTGAAGTATGACAGATATTACGTTGCATAATATATCTACGTGACATTCTTGTGCGCACCGTGTCGAAACAACATGTGTGATGTTGAATTCAATCGAGATCAATTATCAACTAGGACGAAGGGAGATTAGCTCCCTGCTCGTGTGTGACATGTTTAGCCCCTTCTAAATCGCCGGAACAAACATAACAAAGCGTCGCACGTTCATAGACCGACGGATTGACGCAAGGATAAAGGAGCTCTTGTTAAGCCATGTTACAGTCGGAATTATGAATTATTTATTATGGTCAATGTTAATGTACAATACTATGTTGACGGGTTAATACGACATTATTTATTAACTTCTATTTATTAACTTGATTCAGTTAACACAGCACAGAGAAACTTTAAGTTCCAGATAATATTCCAGTGTAAATAAACAATAACATGTAAATTATGTTTGTTTAATAAGACAATGTTTAATAAGAAAATGTTTTAAATAATTATCAAATAACTAGATAATTATATGTTATATAATTGTAACAAGTGTTTTCTGATAATTTCATGATGTTTCATTATAATATTTTCTTCAATTTAATTGTAAGTTTTTTATATAACATACTATGTGTATACATATCGTGTGTGTGTGTGTGTGTGTGACGTACATTGTTTTTAGATGTGTGATTTTTCGTGAATTATTACTCAAATTCTGTCCATTTTGTACATTGTTTTAAATTGCTTAAATTTATAAAATCAATTTTTATCAATAAAAAAATTTTGTAAATATTACAAATTTGTCTCAATATTACTATTTTTAATAATTAAAAGCTTTATTTAATTAAATATTGAATCAAACATCCGAATAAAACTTTCTAAAATTAAATAAAGAATAAAATTAGAATATCTATTTACATAACCAAATTTTTTAATACGAGAAAAGTCTTTCACTTACAGTTATTGTCATTCCAAAAACTGTCGATATTTCATCATTTATTAAAAAAAAAGTCGACTACAAATTTCCTGAAGAAGTTGTTTAAAAGGGAAGGTTTTGGTTTAAAAAGCGATTTTCAAAATTATTTTTTTATTTTTTATAATAATTTTTATATAATTTACATATTGAAGGTGGCCATATCTTCATCGAAACATTTATATGATAAAATATCGATAGTTTTTGGAACTAAAATCATAACCGAAACTTATGATTTTATGTTTTAACAATTATGTCTTAAATATATGACTTTCGCTACTGGCTATCTTTTATTTATATTATTTTCATCTCTCTTTTTTTTTTTTTTAAAGAAAAGCTATTGAATATAGAAACTTAAGATTTTAAGTTTATATTATTCATGTTTAAATTATATGTATAAATTTTTGACAGTCCCTATGCTTAATACTTTGAAAGTTACTGCACATTTTGTATTAAAATGATGTTGAACATAACTGGCTGACTTTTAAGGCGTCTCCAGACGATATGGCCAACGTATACCATTAGTAAATATTATACACATACATAATTATCCATATAATGACGTATGTAATTATTCATATTGAATACAGGCCAATATTTAACGAATGTATGCAAAGTTGACGTATACATTGGCCATATCATCTTTAGCCACCCGAAGCAAATAAAGATCAACAAAATTTTTAATCTATATGAATGTCGTTATTGCGGATATTAGAATAAGAAAATTATTAAAATTTAACAAAATGATGACACTATAAACATCTAATTTTACAACAAAAAAATTTTACTTTTTTCCTCAGTAAAAGAAAATTTTGAAGATTTTAACTTGATTCTATTAATAAACGATATTTCAAATTAAAAATGTTATTGATTTGTTTATTTCGGATGAATAGAGTCCTTCAATTGGTGGCTACAATTATTTTAAAACAGAGAGAGAATGAGCATAGCGATTTATAACTTTAAGAATGCGTTCTAAAAATTTATATATATATTTTAAACATAAAAAATGAAAAAATATATACTCAAAATCTTAAGTCTATATTCAATAGCTTTCCTTTAAGAAAATTGTAAAATTTAACTTTGAAAATCGTTTTCAGAATCTCCCCTTATAAAATCTGATACAATAAAATCAATTGAATGTAAATAATAAAATCAATTGTCTAAAAAATAAGAGTAGATATCAAATTCTTCCTGATACTTGATAAAACGCTTGCATTAAAGTTTCAAGCATAGTAGTAATTGCAAAGTTAATAATAACTTTCTAATAATCCGGAAATTACCCGAAAGTACGTTAATCAATAGCTAAGATGATCGAGTACTTGAAAAATACATTCAAACATCACTCACTCTGAAGATTGATAGCCGACGGGAAGATGGAGGCGGCGTGCCGATGGACTTCCTGGGACCTGGCGGCCATTACGGAGCAGGGGGTCGAGTGGGCCCCATGGTGCGCGTGGGCATGGGGGTGCGCAGTGTGATGGGCCGTGAGCGGCGTGCCGCCGGCCGCAGCACCGGCAGTGTAACGATAGGCCGCTTGACTCATCTGCGAGCACGAGCTCAGGTCTCCGTAACTGCACTGCATCTCGCCGGCGGCTAAAGCGCAGCTGGAGGCCTCGAAGCCGGCCGCTGCTGCGGCCGCGGCCTGATTCAGATACGAGTAGTCCATAATGCCGTGGCCTGGCTGCAAGTAAATCCACTTTGCGTTACTCCGATGGCACTTAGTACTTTGACAGTCGTTTCTTTACACTTCGGTGACAATAATTAGGGGACACGCGTGATAGTCTCGAACGAATGCACTCGAAAAAAATCAATGATGGGCCGTTAAAAATCACGATATCTAACACATTGATGTTTTGTTCTGAGATAGGTACAATGCGTCTCTTCTAAACTTTCTGAAAAAAAGACACTGGTTGCGCAAAAACGTATGGCCGTGATGACGAATGTGATGTGAAATTGAGGAGGTGACGTAAAGCAGCGCAAGTTATCCGGGCCCGTTTGTACCGGTGCTCTTGGGCCCGTTCGTCCGCGGGTAAGACCCGGGTAGACGCGAGCGGTAGGAGCGGCACGCCGCTCTCTCGTCGGCGACGCTTCAGAGAGCGAGACCGGGAACCGTGCCGGGCCGCCAGTTGGGTTCCTCGATAGCGGCTTATGATGCGTAATCGGATCAGCGATATCAAATTATTGCGATTACACCGCGGATAGGAAGAAGTTTTCCGGCCCGCTTAAGAGCGCCCCGTACGACCGACTGGTGGGTCTCCTCAAAATCAAATGATAAGCTTAATTCAATAACCGCTGGTGCCGCGGGTAGGAGCGTGGGTGTGGCCGTGGTTGACTCGCAGGGGTTGCGTTTCGTAGAGGGTTCTCCATGTGGAAGCTGATTCGCCGGCAGCCGAACCATCCCTGTGACGAGAACGGGGGTTGAAACACCGCCCCGTGTCGGCAATACCGATTTCCACCCCTCTCGAGGTTTACGCGGGGCCACCCCCAGGTTACAGACCAGACAACCCTCTTCCCCAAACGGCCATCAGCCCGAATGAGTGCTATCATTCGATGACGCGCCCCTCCGGCCGCCCCACCTTCAGCTTTACGATCGATCCCGCGCAGAGACGCCGGCGACGAAGGACGCCGTTGTGTTCTGGCTGCTCCAGTGGACGCGAGGAGTCTGCAAGAGGCTGCGTCGCGTCCCGTACCGCGGCCAAGATCCTCGGAGCTGTTTACACCTGCGTGCCGTGCCGTGCCGTGCGAAGGATATCACACGGGCCGGATTATTCGCGTCGCGCGTCGACGCTAAACACACCTCGACTCCTCATATTCTGACTGCTAAATATTAAATCAAAGAGCTAGAGAGAAAAGAAGCAAAGGATAAAGAAAGAAAGAAAATATAAATATCGTTTCTTAACAGGTTTATTAAATGTGTATATCAGAATTCATCTTTTTATTTAATACATATCGCTCTCTTTTACTTCAAAAGTGACACAACTCAAAACATTTTCTCAGAAAAGGAATAAAACTATTTAACTTGACAGAAAATTATTGACTAATCAAATAATATTGGCAAAAAGAATATATTCTTAACATAATCAAATGTCATTTTTTTACATTTTCGTTCGCAACTCTTAAAAAATTACTTTTTTTTAAGTTTTAACACGATTTTGACGATTTCTTATTTGATGACCGATTTTTTATGATTGATAGAATAACGTTTAGTTAATTCATTCATAGTAACTCGATAATTACGTTTTTTTAAATTGTGTCACTTTTGAAATAAGGAAGCGATATATACTATCTGCTATAAAGCTTCATCATAAAGTAATATTTTTTTCTCATTTATTTCAAGCAACATTGCATCAAATAGGATTTGTTATTCTGTACATCTCATTTTTATCGATTGATTATATGACTCGTTTTCTAAGATTAACATTATTATTCAGATAGAGAAAAGTACAGCAATGATGAAAATTTTAAAAGCTACATAAAAATATTTTTTTAATAAAAATATAAATAATATTATTCACAAAGCATAAAAAGAATGCTTAAGGACCGATGTAATTGAAAAAGATATGCTAATTACTATTAAATCTGTATTTAAAAAAGTGACTTTTAAACACATTTAATAAAATTATTAAAAAAAACAATGTTATTTTTTTCCGACTTAATATTTTTTTATTATAAATTAGAGCTGATATCATTTTGGTGAAAACTAAGTAATCTCTGCATTTTAAATCAACTTAATGTTATAAACCAAATGTATAATGATTGACGCATATTTTTTATCATTTCTATCGCATGATGGAAAACTAAGTTTATTAAAATTATAAATTCATTATTAGTGAAACTGTGAAAGAGGAAAACAGAATTTCTTTTATGTATAACGTATAAAACTATTTTTGTGAATCGGCTGGTTTAATGTTCAAACGATATTTCTGATTTGTTACTGTAAATTTTTTATTCCATTAATTCATTATTAGATTACATTGATCTACATGAAAATTAAGGATTGAAAGAATCTTTAAAAATATCTGTAAACGTTAATAAATAACAGGTATATGAGAAAATAGATCGCTCACTTTACTATTTTACATTACAAATTTATTTCGCAAAAGTAAATTTTTCTACCTTTTTTACTGAAAGTTTTTCGTTATCATTTATTAAACTTCGACTCCGATAAGGTTTGTCATCTGTTGTGAATACTTCTGAGAAAGAAATAAATAAGCAAATATGTAGGCTGTAATATCAAAAAATAATTTTACCATAGAAGACAGATAATACTTTTTTAATTCAAATTAATTGAAGAAACAAATCATGTTATATACAAAATCTTTTCATAATTTATTGTATTCTTTCGATTAACAATTATCATTTGACCTCTATTACTTTATGATGAAATTATTCACATCGTAAAATTACAATTAATGTCGTATAATCTTTTTGGTAAATCAAACAATAATTCAATGTTTTTCACCGATTTCAAAAATATTCTACGGTATCTTTAGTAATCTCAAATTTATTAGTTTAACAGGAATTTTATGCGAGTTTTGATAATTGAACTATAGAGTTTAAATTGAATATTAAATAATTTACGGCGTAGAATACTATTATTCTCATTTGATTCGCGGAGAAAAGATTCAAATTAAAAATAATGTTATCAATCTTAAACTCACTAAATGTAAATTCATCAAATAATGAAATTATTACAAAGTAATGCGATCATTTTGGGTTACTGCATATTTTACATTTTTCACGCGAGCTAAGACACCCTAGCACCCAAACGAATTGAAATTTCTCACATTTCTTCTCTTTCGCGAGTGAGACTATAGAGGGGCAAGGGAAAATATGATTTATTTCGACCTAGAGAAACAATTTTCACGAACATAGAACGGCGATGCGCATCGGTCGACCGGCTCCTATGCGACATTTGTTTTGCACTTGTTCTCACGAGAGAGAGAGTGTGTGCCACGATGAGAGCAGTCGCGGTGTTCCACCCTCTTTTCTGAATCTTATCCCAGGGGAATCCCGTTCCCGGCACGCGGAACGTGTGTCGCACGCAGCCATCGTGCACATCTCCAGGCGGCACACACAACGAAATGCTACATAGGCGTACCCTTTTGAATAAATTCTGTGTATATAATGAACGAGACGTTGTGTCGATGCCGGAAGCACTGCGGTCTTTCCGTTGGTAAATAAATGAATCAACGTAAAAGAGCGTAACTTTGAAAAATATTTGAAATAAAATCAAAAGAAAAGTTTAGTTAAAGCAAATAACATATAAATTATAAAATAAAAAAATTGTTTATATTTTATTTATATTCTTTTTAATAATAATAAATAAATAATACTCAAAAAAGAATGAGCAATATTTCGCATATACGTAGATCATATAATTATAAAAAGATATTACTCACGTATAGCCACTTTTTTGGAGTTCGAAGATTATCCAAATCCATGATTTTTAATTAAAGATGATAAAATTTTAGAATTTTTAAAAGAAGAATTTTTGAAGAGAAAACTTTCACTCTCAGAATTACGCCATTGTTCGATAAAGAGGCAACATGTACGTGAGATCGTGTGTGTCTTTGATATCAATATACGCACGAATGTGTCGGTCTCTCCCCTTGGTGGTGTGATACATATGTCCTTGATTTGTCCGGAGAATAATATTCTCTCCTGCAAAGTTGATTAAATATTGGTTAGTGATCTCGGACACCCTTCGCGGCCCAGCATCGCCTTTCGACCCCGCGAAGACCCGCAGGAATACAATTTAATATTTCCGCGCCTGAAAACACAGCGGGCGATCATTTTTCTTTCATGCGAGGCTGGTACATCGGGAATTAACGATTTTTCTACGGGTCTCAAAGGGAAATCTATAAACGGTGCTTTACAGTTACAAGTGATATAAGTCGAGCTTAAGATGCTTTCAGTTTGACGATAAAACGAATGGAAATGAAAATGTTCTGCAATCAGCTCGGTTTAATTTTTATGAAATGAGAAAATTCAAATACGAACTTTTTATACATTATATCGCATGAACACACACACACAGTCCTAAATTTTTTTTTAGATAAGTTCAATTATTTTATAAACTAGGAAATTTTATTTAAAAAACGCATTTACATAAAAGCTGAATAAGTTAAAGAGATAAAATGCTTTGTTATACCTTATTAATAAATTCGAAATAAAATAGCGTCACGATTGAAAAATAAATTGAAAAATGTTAACAAAAATTTATATTTTTAAATCACCAACCTCTATATTTATGTTAATTTCGGGAATCTTCTTATCCATTATTATTAATTGACGATTATGACATGAGCAACTTACTTCGAGGAAAAAATATGCAACACATATACACGATTATTTTTGTATAAATTTTATTATAAAATATTGCGTTGTGTTAGAGAGTTTTTTCAATATTCATCATATTCATGTAAAAGTAGCCTAGTAGCACAATATTGACCCAGTATATCTCCAATGTTTAACTAATGTAATTGCTACTAGGGCTATAAGCGAGTCACTTTTGGGACATTGCTATACTTTTACATAAAGACGCAATTTATATATTTTAAATTATTTACAAATATATATATATATTTATATTTAATCTTTTCTTAAAATATGCTGTACATAATATTTTTGTAAACATTATACGAAAATCGATCATTGTTTTACATAAATACAATAAAAGTATAATGAAAAATTAATTTTTCATCGGGCGTATTTAATATTAATAGTAAATTTTAGTGAAAATATTATTTTTACCAAGTAGACAATTTCATCATCATGTGTTTTTAATTTAATAATATAATGATCTATATTCTATATTCTATAGTATTCCAGTCTTCACGCTAAAAAGATTTATCTCTATTATACTACAATTATCGAGACTATCTTAATGCTATCAGTTAAAAGTTAAACAACTGATCTTTTAACAAATTTAATATCTCTTTTCTTCTCAGAGACAGAAAAAATCATTCTTTCATTCTTTAATTTATATAAATCTTGAAAGATATTTTATTTTTGATGTTTAATTAATAAATTACTTAATTTTAAATATTTAAAAAAATTAAAATTAATTTCTCTTTTTAATCTCTCCTATAAAATTATCGCTAAGAAAAAACAAACCCTAAATAAAATAATATATCATTATAATTTTTGAACAATAATAGCGCGCACGAAATATGTATAATGTATAGTTAAGACAATACATTATATATCTGTAATAAAAAGAATTATTTAAGTATAATTATTTATTTAATGTTGCTATCTATTCATGGACATAAGAAATAACTGGACAGATTGAAATCTAATATTACAATAAATTCCAAGAATTTGAAACTATCGAAAATTATATATATATATATATATAGCAGATAATCAAATAATCTATAGAATAGAATATATATTATCGATATTATTTGTTATAAAACCTAAATTTTAAAAAATTAAGAGTAAATTATTTCATTTAATTTAATTCATTTAATTATTTAATTAACATCTCATAATCTAATAAATTTTAAACTGTTCCAGTGTAATTCTTACCCATTAAAATGTTATTTCCTCCAATTTTATGTATGTGCGGTTTTGACACTTTCAACAGATTTTAATACTTTTAATATTGGTAATATTTTCTTATCTATTAATAACGTAACGTGTAGATATTATAAAAATATATTCAAATTTATTTTATTTACATTACTTCAAAATGTTTTGAAATATCGCGCTTTGTTTAACACATTCGAAGCTATGTTAGTAACACAGCGCAATCAAGACTATATTTACTATAGGTGCCTTCCAACAAGAGACACACATGACACGATATGACACGGTGCATCATTAGAGCCTTGTTGTTCGCTAATGTTAAACAAGGATAAGATGATTACTGTGTTGTACCGAGTCGCTTATTGGAAGGCACCCTTATGTCTCTTACTCTCTTTCTATTTAATTATTCCTTTTCTTCTGCCTTCTTTTTCAAATAGATAAATCGGTCCAGTCATTCTATCTTCATGTCCATGAATTCACTTACATAAATTTTATATATAGATATCTATTAATATTTCTAACATCGTTTAATTTTAACATCATTCTTTTTGCGTTATATTTTGTACATTAATTATATCGAGACCTTCTAACTTCTATAACCTGAGTTATTCGTGAAATACTACTGCACTTGCATAATGTTCAAGGATACGAATTTTTTAGCCGAATTCTTTCGCAGTAATGAGTGTACTATATTCGTTAATCAATGTCCAATATATTAAAATCTTTTATACAAATGAAAAATAGATTTTTGATTAACCTCCAATGATGAGGTAGGAGTTAGATGTGACCCATTTCTTCGTCAATCAAAGTATTTCTTGTTTTATTTCAATTTAAAATCAATTAATAAACATTTGTATTTTTTTGCTTGAACTAAAAATTGTAAGATTCATTAAAAAATATTAGACACCCCAACATGCACTTTAATCAAATATGGTTTCTCTTCTTTTACAAGTATTTTTTCTTCTATAAACAGAGGCAGAAGTCATTATTTACTTTTTCATCCATTTTGTGCATAGATTAGATGAAAAATAAACAAAACGAAGAGTCGAATTGGATCCTACCTTCGTGGATAGGTCCTGAAAATTCACCGTAAAGGATTAATAAATTCAATTTTCGATTTTTAAATTATTCACGAAATCTCTTCTTTTCATGTATACTACAACAATTTTAAACATATTTAACTGGACATTATTTAACATATTTTTTGAGCTTCCCAAGTCCATTAACACAACATTATCTCTTTCCTATTTTCTTTGTATTATACCTAGTAAACGAGAATGGATTAAAATGGATTCAAATTTTGTCTATCCGAACACATATTTTGGGACGATTACGATAACTGGGGCCCCATAAAATAAAAGTTATTTTTGAAAGTATTTTTAGTAAGGAACACGGAAAAAATATTAAAAACATTCTATAATCAATATTTAATTTGATAATCATAATTCAATTTTATGATTAATTTGATAATAACTTTTTAATAAACAATGATTATGTACTAAAAGGTCATAACCCTGAAAGATCTCCAACAGATTTTAGGTGGCTTTCACCTTCGACTCACACCTTTTCCTCCCCCTTGCAAAGGAGCGCACGACTCTCACCTCCCTTCCTCTCTGCAAAGGGGCGCATGACTTTCCACGCGAAGCGTTTAATTGTTAGTTATTTTGGTATCTATTGGTTAGAGAATTTTTTTTACTATTTTTCTCGTATTCGTCACTAGAAATGCTTCTGAAAATCACTTTCATTTTGAGGGGCCCCAGTAATTGTGTCCGTATTTTAAATAGCGAAAACCTTTTTTTCGATTCAATTGGATGCAATTGGATTGAAAAACTGCATTTTCTATTCAAAATTTTGAATTGAAGTATTCACGATGCACAGAAAAAAAGCTGATATTATTTTTAGATTGAAAGGCATAGACATATGCTTTATGTAATTCCTATAAATGAATAAAAATGCATTCAAAATTGAAAAGCATTCATTTTAACATTCGTGAATCCTGAAAATCTGAATCCATTTCAATCCATTCTCGTTTACTGGGTAATGTTATCTCAGATTGCGTTCTCTAACACACAAAACTTACAGCAATATTGTTGCAAGTTTGTGCTGTTGGGATTTCGTTATTCACTGGCTACGTTTACACCCAGCAACCTGATAGCGACCCGATCTATATCGCGACCCAAAGTAGATCTAGTTACTAACCGTTTACACCGAAGCAGACTTAAAAATTGACGAGATCATATTTAGTCCACGCTGGTTCGAGTTACCTAGAGCCATATCATGTTTTGTACTCTCGCGCATTTACATCGAGAAAACTGACGATCTATTTTAGGTCAGGTTGCTAAAAAACAAGGCCTGACCTAAAACTAGATCAGGTAATTTACCAAGTGTTTACATGAGGCCTAAATAATTTAGATCGAATTTGGGATATAGGCTGCGGACTAAGCGCACGGTGTAAACGTAGCCATTGTGTGTACTGAAAATATATAGTTTACATAAACTGCAGATTTTCAGTACTCGCAACAAATAACGGAACACAACCTTAGATTGTTAGTTTAACCGATTTTTAATATAAACCAAAATCACTGAGCGATGACAATTAGCAACCAGATGTGATCGACGATTGACATTATTGCATGTTTGGATAAATAGCATAATACGAGTTCTTAAACTGTTTTGAATTATACACATTCGGATCCTCTACGGCGTACGGTTGGATCACGTTGGGCGGCACTGTTTTTTGATTGTGCACATTTGTTACCATATATTGCGGCGTCGATACAACTTGACCAACAGCTGCTTCTTCTACCAGCTTTCTCGGAGAATATATTAGTAGAGGCATAGATGCGTCGTTCTGCTGCGGCGCATTATCTGCCGTGGACACTGCATATGCAGACGTTGTTGAGTTGGACAATTGCTGCGCCTTGCACTTCTTCGTATGAGCGTATAATGAGCCGGCATTGTTGTATCTTTTAGTACATAGCTTGCACGCGTACGGTCGTTGACCGGTATGTGTATACGTGTGTTCGTTCAGCGAGGTTAATCGTCGGAAGGACTTGGTGCAGATATTGCAATGATATTTGGCCTCACCAGTGTGCATGGTGATGTGCCGCGCCAGAGTGTTGGCCCTGGCAAACGCTCTACTACAGTATTGGCAGATATACGGTTTCTCACCGCTATGAGTTCTCAGATGCAATTGTAAATACGTGCTCTTGGTGAAGGCACGACTGCATACATTGCATACATATGGCTTGACGCCAGTATGTGTACGCATATGTGCCACCAGCGACCCACTCTGAGCAAAGCACTTGCTACATTTCTCGCAGAGAAACCGTTTCTGCGTGTCCTTCACCCGTTTATGCCTCTCAACGTGATTTGCCAGTGATTGAGGCTGTGCGAAGGCCTTTGGACAAAGCATGCACTTATGTGGCCTGTTGTGTCGGTCCTACGAGAAAACAAACCTATTAGACTGTGTTGTTAGAGTTGCATATTTTTGTAGAAACAAATATAAACTAATTTAATTTTTATTGTATATTACATACATAAGAATTATAATAATAAACATGGTTATTTTGTAAATATTTTTACATAAAATACAAGGTATTCCGTAAATCGTGATACAATTGGGAAAGAAAATTTTATTCTGATTTTTTCCGATTTATTTTTTCATGTAGAATCACTCTTGATTGTAACACGATTTCCAGGACATCCTGTATAATAAATGTACGTATAGAATTTACATAAAATAAACTTGCTTTCTTTCGGTTTTCGGAATTCTCATTGATTTTGCTCTCGTTATCCTCCTCGTCATAGTCTTCGTCATCAGTGTTACCGAATATTTCCTCTTTGTGTTTCGACTGTTCGTGATCTTTCAGCTTGTCGATTCTCGAAAATCCTTTACCGCATGTCGAACAATTAAACTTCAAGCCACTGTGCGTCGAGATATGCCTCTTCAGGTTTCTCTTTGTAGCAAAAAGTTTGCCGCACTGAGTACACTGTAGACTTTTGATTGGTAAATCACTGTCATCGTCATCTTCTTCTTCTTCCTCCTCCTCAGATTCATTTTCTCTGAATGTTGGCATCCTATTTTTTTGTTCACTCGTCGTATCATTCGCAGATTGCTCAAGTACATCGTCCGTATTCACATTATATTCAACATGACTTTTGGCATGAGACAAAAAGGATTTCTGATATATAAATTGTTTCGAACAGACTTTGCACGTAAACTTGAAGTTTTTCTTTTCTTCCCTCGTGCTGTCCATAACGGTGCCACTTCTAGTAACTTTTGCCAACACTTTATTTGTCTTTCTGTAATCTTGTGACGCTTTACTATCTGGCGTCTCGTGACACGTAAGCACGTGATTCTTCAATTTATCGATATTCGAGAACTGCTTGTTACATATGATGCACACGAAACGTAGCTTTGTTTTGTTTTTGTGTACGTTCATGTGTCGCTGCAACGCAACTTTCGTCGCAAACGATTTGATGCAATGCAAGCACTTCTTTCTCGTTGTCCTGCTTATAAGTGGTTTCTCCTCGTCATCACTACAATTTGTGACGCTTTTCATATCCATTCCTAATACCATGGTTTCCTTCGAAATGTCGTTGAAATTTTCCAGCAATGTATTCTTAATCTCAATTTTTAATGTATCTTTCCTATTTTCATCCGTTAAATTTCCCGATGTCTCATTATCTTCAGGTAGTATTAAATCTTCTTGTTTGACACATCTGTCTTCCGTTGTTGAGCTGGAAAATCGATCTGAATGATCGGCAACTGCATCATCCATATGTGCCTCATGACAAAAGGCTACTTCCATCATTTCAACATTATGTACATTATCTTTAACTGTATCGTACAGTGCATCTTTTTCACTTGGTTCTATAATTTCTGTCGTCTTTTGTATCTTGTGGCTTATGTGAGATTCATCAATTACCATATCAGACTGAACGGCAGTATTATTAAACGCAACAATATCGTGAGATGAGGAAATACCTTGCTCTATATGATTATCTTTTTTACAAGATACTACGTCGGATATGACATCCGTGATATCTTTGATTATCATGCTATCTTTCGCATGTTTGTCGTGCAGCATAGGCTGAATCTGTAATTTCAGAAACTGCCGTAACCTCTCGTCGGCGTTCTGAATCTGGCATCTGAAGTCATAGGACACGTCAAGCAAATCATTGCAAGCTGAACAGATGTAAGCTGGCAGACCGTCCCCTACCTCCACCTATAATTTATGAAAATCAACAATAGTTTCACTTTATAAAAAAATTATTTTGAAAAAAATGTATAAAGTTTGGCTATAATTGCTTTATTATAAACAAATATTGAAACAGCACATGAAACATAAAAAAACAGATTTTTCATCGCGCAGAGTATGAAAGTGTACATTGCATGTACAAAAAAATCAACTGTTTATCTTATACATACATTTATCGTCTTTAAACGAATCAATATCATTTCAACCTCCATATTCATTCAGTCCTGAGACAATAACTATGCTCAAAAAAGAATAACTAATAGATTTCCATTGCCTGTTTTAATTCATAGAACTAGAAAAAAATGAAAAATTGAACCGAAATATGAAAGTTAATCTACATTGGTAGAATGAGATATGTATCTCTAACAATCTCTAATCATAAGTGATAATGTAAGTGAGTGTAAGTGGCTTGTATCATTGTTTACATCGTAGGAAAAAAACTAGAGTGGTAAAATCATAAAGCAGAATCGCTATTCTACGATAAATTTTACATTCAAATGAAAAAAAAAAAGATTGAGATATTCTCGCGAACAATCTCTGACCTCGAAAACCTTAATAATTCTCTGAGGAAATCGATGTTAACACAGAACAATTCGTCTAGCCAAAACAACGACATTGGCATTGAGAGGTCAACAACAGGTAGAAACCCTCCAACATCCGAACGAGTTCAAGAACATCGCGGATGCGACAGAGAAATGTAAACACGGGGGCATTGCTCGATGCAGAGGTGGCTTTCGACGCTCGTTCAAAATAAAACTAGAGGTGGCGATAGAAAGAAAAAAGGAGAGCTAACCTGTACAGCGGCGATGGCCATCAACTTCTCCGGTATCCCGCTGTCGTTGTGGAAGAGCTGGCACACCTCCGTGCAGGACTTGAGACAGATGCGGCATTCGTCGCCCACGAGCTGTTCCACGCGTACTGTGCTATTCATCGCGTCATCGCTCGGAACTGCCATGGATCGATACAGAGAGGGTGATCGGTTTAACTCACGGAACAATACCAGACAATACAACCAGCCGCTACGTGCCACTGCACGGCCGCCATTTGCTTTTGCTTGGACCCGGTCGACCGCGAGCGGTTTCGATATTTACGATAGATCGACGCCACCGACCATTCACAAGATAGCAGACAAATTGAATATTTCTGATTTATTTATGTCTGTATAATTTGGGAAATCGTTTGGGGAAATTTGGGAAAAGCATTTAAACATTTGGGAAATAGTATTTTTCTTGTAATTAACAAATTTTATTATGCGTCAAGTTAGCAGACAGCGATTTTATTTAATGTGTTTTATGAATGGAATCGATTAGAAATTATTTGGGGAAGACGTCTTCATTATTATTTTCATTTGGGAAAAGTCACTATTTGGTAATTCAGTAGATTTATACATTACGAAAACGAACAAAGCCCGGGTGTAGTATGGGTGTAGTAGGTGTAGTACAATGAATATAGTAAACCTAAAATCGTCAAAGATTAATCAATCAAGCCCGGATCTAATTATGCGTAGTAAGAAATTATGTGTAGTAAGAAATCAACTTAATCATAAACTTAATTATATTCGACTAATTTTCTTCACTTTCAACTGTGATTGGTCAATTCCTTATGGTTTAAGGCTTTCAACATTCGTTGTACCATCTGAGTGAAGTTTGAGAACGCAGTCTAACATTGGAGTATTCGGATTTCGGAGTAATAAACTTTGAACATAAAAATATACAATGAAGAAGAAAATTTGTTAATACGTGTTTTTTTCTTAATTTGTAAATATTATTATTATTTAATTAAATACACTTCAAGAAGAAAAATTTTAATATTTATTCTTTATTTTTGTTATTTTTCAGTAAAAACGGATAGACGGTTTTATGTACATACATATATATACGTACATACATTTAACAAATATTTAAGTATTTCTTCTAAACATGAAAGCAATTTGCGTTAATTTATAAAATATGTACGTTTATTTATATAATGATTATTATACACACATGCATCTACATAATATGTTTCTGTAATTTCTAAGATCGTATAATCTGCGATAAATAATTGAGTTTGTTTTTAGACAATGTTATCTGTGGATATCATCAATATATATATAATGAAGACGTCTTCCCCAAATAATTTCTAATCGATTCCATTCATAAAACACATTAAATAAAATCACTGTCTGCTAACTTGACGCATAATAAAATTTGTTAATTACAAGAAAAATACTATTTCCCAAATGTTTAAATGCTTTTCCCGAATTTCCCCAAACGATTCCCAAATTATACAGACATAAATAAATCAGAAATATTCAATTTGTCTGCTATCTTGTCAGTGGTATCCAAAGTCCGGTCTTAATCTTAAGCAATGTCTTAAGATGCTAATATGGCTCTCTGATTGATTCATGCACTGGCTTAAGACTCGAATCTTTTTAATATAAAATGTAAAATACAAAAATTGCTTATAAATTTTTACAACATTTTTGCTTTTATGTATAAGATATCTCGTATACAAAATGCATATTATAACACAAAATTCGTGTATATTTCAAGAAAATCCGAATCCTGGTTCTGCAATAACAATCTTTACGTTTCTATTTAATAAATCTTTTAATGATACAATATTTATTAATAGATCCTTAAACGAAAATTTTAATTTCGTATCTCCTACTGTGGAAATAAAAATTATTGAATATTATAATAAGAAACTCGAAATTGAATATTCAATCAAGTTAACTTAGCGAATTTTGTCTTATAATATGTGCCTGCATAAAAATGGAATTATGTTTTTTAATGCAGATTTTCAACCCGTTTTTTTACCAAACATACTTACTAGTATGTAAGTATTATATATTCCAAAGTCTCTATAATTACCAGCAATTATAAAGACTTTGAATATACAATACTTCAAACTTTTCCAATTATATATCGTTAATTTAAGGTTTAATTTAGCAAAAACAAGTTAGAGGCCTTCTACCACCCCCGCCGATTTTATCGGCGGTCCCTTTTTCTTTGTAAGTATACTCACCCGTAAAAAAACGGGCTATTAATAAATTTAGTAGTCCGCTTTTGCAGGTTAGTATATTTTAAATTTATTTTTTATTTTTATGTCTAATTATTTTATTGTATTTTTCGCTAATTATATTGCATTATGATTAGCGAAATACGATAAAATCATATTGTATAACTTTTTTAATATTATCTTTTATTGTAATCCTTTATACATTCAGTAATACAATAATAATTATTTACAATACAATGTACAGTTATAAGTGCTGTTCGAAATATAATAAAAATTATATTATATAGGAGCAAATTAACAAAATTTATTAATGCGGGATTATACGAAAATATCGAAAATACATACGATAACACAAGTTTTTCTAAACTTTAATGAAATATTGAGAAAAGCGGAATGAAATATACTAACAATAATTAGATCGTATTTACTATTAATTATTAATTTGCGAATATAAAATTTAATAATATCGTGATAAAAAGTCATTAATATATTTATAACAGCACTTTCATCGCGTTCAAGATAACTATCTCAATAATTTCATCATATTAAAGTCCCTCCGCCTTGTGGTATGCCGGTTAGTATCCGTATACAAAGAAGAACGATCTTCATAGTGGAGAGCGAATGGATTCTGATTCTACGTTAAATTCATTTGCAAAGAAAAGTTAAGCAATCCGTCAAATACCAGTGATCTTGTTACAGGAAGATGTGAATCCCAAATCTTTCGTACTACTTACGATAGTAATAATTTTGGTAGCACGTTACAATTACAATTACCATTTTTATCAAATTTTCAATATAATATTAAAATTGGCAAGAAAATATGTTCTGCCACACATCACCAAAAATCATCTCTTATTAAAAATACGGATAGAATGATTTCCTTATGGAATAGTGGTTACGAAGGAATATATTTAATAATAACAAAATACATGCTTTATTGTAATTTTTTTTATATGTATGGGTACAGAAGTTCCTCGGGTACCAACTGTTCAAGATAAGGCGAACCCGATGATAACGGGATTTTAAAGAACATTTATACTGAAAAATTTATTATATAGAATTTAACAATTCCTTATTTTTCTGCAGTTTCAAAAATTTGAATTATTATTATCCCGCTAATATGAGGGTACCCATTCGACTTACCTCGAATTTTTTGTAACCACACACTTTTAATTAAATCCATCGACAAAAATTAAAAATAATTTGGACTCAAGCAATTAAAGAATCATTATATATCCATATTAACCATATAATACTAAATTCCTATTGTTATTAAGACAGTACTATTACTAACATTATCATTACTAGTGGGAGAACATTTAATAAAACAAAGAAAGCGACAAAAATTGTACGCTAAAATATACCATTGAATTAATTTCGTAACTTGATTTTAAAATATAGAGCAATTGTCATTGACTCATTGACAAAATTATTACTTCCAATAACTACAGACGAGAAAACCCGGGATTGATTTCGATCCTGTACAAGAATCTTTAAAAAGACAAGAATCATCAAACTAGACTTTGCAAATGGACTTTACGAAATAACTCTTCACGATGAAAATAATTTCGACTTTCCATCGGTACAAATCACAGGCATTCATCTGACGCGAGGGACAACGATGAAACCTTTGCATATAATAATTGATCACTAAAATATACTTGTAATTCTGTAATGTTAAAAATGTAAATGTGTCAAAAGCAAGCAATACAAATTTAATAAATTTGTATACTAAATACGAAGAAAAACAATTATTCTAAACATCAAATTTTTAATTAGAAGTCACTGGAAATTATTAATGACTCTTTGATATTCAGAATAGAATCCAAAAAATTAAAAAAAAAGTTTCAAAGATAAATATTTATCAAACTTCTTAAATCAATAAACAATTTTTGTTATCATATGTTTCATCGATTTCGTATAATTTACATAAATGAAGCAACAATTTGATTTACTACGATAAGATAAATGCTATCTGTATTGAATAGATTTCAATATGGATATATACATTCCAATAAATGTCTAATTTATTAATAATTATTGCGCAAATTACAAAAGTAAATATGATGGCATTTATCTGGACATAGTTTACATATATTTTATATTACGTACCTAATACTATTATACATACATTCATTTACAATAAAATTAATTATATAAATATCAACGCGTTACATAATTTGTACGCGCGTATAGAATTTTACAAAGAAGGTTTAAGGGTTAAGCTGAAAATTCAATAAAATTTGAAATTAATTTGGTTTATTTTCATATTTGATAATTGGAACGGAATGCTGCGATAATTAAATAAAACTTAAAATTAATTTAAAATTTTATTCAATTTCTAATCCCTCTCTTCCAATTACCAAGTATGTACGTATGATGTGTTTATTCCTATTCATAGACATCGTCCTACCTATACAGTCTCTACCTATCCATACCTATTGTCCTACCTAACCGTATTTTCATTTATTCGTGCCTATTAACGTATACCTCCACTCGTGCATTCCTACCTACATTACATCATAAATGTGCAATAAAACCGCAAATATAATATGTTAACGGCTACGATCAGAGAAAATAGCTTTTCAACTGCTGTAAAATTCGATATGATTGGTATCGCTTTTGGTTCCTTATGGATCTAAGTGTA